CTGCCTCTGCCTCCCAAGTGCTGAAGATATTATTGTTTGCTTTTAAAATTCTTTAAAAATCACCAGACATTGGTGGCACACGCCTTTAATCCCAGCACTTGGGAGGCAGAGGCAGGGAGATCTCTGTGAGTTCGAGGCCAGCCTGGTCTACAGAGCAAGTTCCAGGACAGCCTCCAAAACAATACAGAGAAACCCTGTCTGGAAAAACAAAACAAAACGAAAAACAACAACAACAACAACAAAAAAAAACTCTTTAAAAATCAATGGGCTCTTAGTAGATGATGTGACTAAAATGGTGACAAAGGAGTGCCCAGACTTCATTCCCCAATGGGGGACAGAGCTCAAAGCTGGGGATACAGCTCAGATGGCAGAGCACTGGATTAGCATGCACAAAGCCCTGGGTTCAGTCCCCAATACTGCACATACTGGGCATGGTGGTGCACACCTGTAGTCTCAACACTAAGGTGTGAAGGCAGGAGGATCAGAAGTTTTAGGACAGGGCTGGAGAGATGCCTCAGCCATTATGAGCGCTGCCTGCTTTTCCAAAGTCCTGAGTTCACTTCCCTGCAACCACATGGTGGCTCACAACCATCTGTCATCAGATTGATTCCCTCTTCTGGCATGCAAGCATAACATGCAGTATAGAATTGTATACATGATAAATAAATAAATAAATATTTAAAAAAAGTTCTAGATCATCTTTGGGTGTGTTGCAAGTCCAAGGCCATCCTGGGGCATAGTAGACAGTCAAAAAAATTCCAGAATCCAGTTTGGAAACCACAGGGCTGTAGGCAATACAAAATGAAGGACGACTGAAGTGAAATATGAATGAAAGCGAGAACTCTGGGGCTGGAGGGATGGTTCTGACATTGAGGACTGGGATTTGGTTCCCAGCACATATGGTAGGCAGCTTCAGCTCCAGGAGAATCAAAAGCTCTCTTCTGGCCTCAATAGGTGTGTCTCTCCCATATGAATATAAAAAAATCATTTTTTAAAGACTTCACTTGGTGTATTATTGGACTCCAATTCTGAGAATAAAAATATTATGGTTCTTATGGAAATAAAGCATTTTGTTTATATTTCTCAGGAAAAAATGGATGAACTCTTTAAAGTAAAATATGAACAGCATAATGACAGGTGTAAAATGAATTCAGAAATAAGATATGCTTTAAAAAAGAACAGTATGATGAATGCCACGTGTGGTGTCACAAACCTGTGGACAAAGTTTCTGTTCTACCTGGTCCCACAGCCGGTTAGCCCCAAATAAACACACAGAGACTTATATTAATTATAAACTGTTTGACCAATGGCTCAGGCTTCTTATTGGCCAGATCTCTGTTAATTATTAGAAACTCCATCTACATAAACCTGTAAATCCAGCACTCTGGGAGTAGAGGCAGGAGAATCAGAAATTCAAGGTAGAGAATCCTCTGCTACCAAGTCTGAGGCCAGTGTGGGCCTCAGGAAAGGAAAGGAAAAATGACTATACTAATATAAAAATAGACTTCAAGTCAGGGAGTGTTACCAGAGACAAAGCAATGGTTTCCATTGCTATGAAGAGACACCATGAACATGGTAACTCTTATAAAGGAAAGCATTTTGTGAAGCAACCTTGTTTCTAATTTAAATTTAAAAATTATATATATGGAAAGCATTTAACTGTGGCTGACTTGCAGTTCAGAGGTTCAGTCCATTGTCATAGTATGGCAGCACAGAGGCACACTTGGGACTGGAGAAGCTGTGAGTTCTACAGCTGGATCTGTAGGCATCAGTAAGTGATAAAGCCACTGGGCCTCGATTGGTTCCAAATCTGCCCCCCCTCACAGTTCCTCTAACAAGGCCACGCCTCCTAATCCCTTCCAAGTAGTGCCACTCCCTGATGACCAAACATTCAAACCTATGAGCCTCTGGGGCCATTCTTATTCAAAGTATACATCCACGAAGCAAAATTGCAAAATGATGGCTGCTCACTTTGAAAGGTTCAGGCATTACACTGGCCTGCCCTGTTACCTGGCAGAATGCACTCAGGCAGCGCTCTGGTCAGCCCAGAGTTCCACGAGTGCAGCCTGCAAGCAGGTGTAAAGGACCCTTTAAGAGACAACCCCATCAGCGTATGCTGTCTTATCACTCTTCTCCCCTCTCTCACTCTCTCAGGTTCCTTCACTCTCTCTCCTCATTTCTCACGTCTGTCTCCCCGCTTCGCTCTCCCGCCGCTATAATAAGTTATGATTAATGGGCTCTCTGTGGCTCGTGCTGTCCACGGCTTGTGCTCCATCACGCTGTCCCTGCTCCATCATGCGGTCTTCCTTTTCTTTTTTTCTAATTTTTAAACTTTTACAAAATAGCAACACATTTCAACACCACATCTAAAATTGGAGTGCCACAGAGGTTAGTGTGGTGCCTGCGGAAGGATGACATGCACATTTGTGAACTTCTATGTAATTTATTTTTTTATTTTTTCTGAGACAGTGTTTGTCTGTGTAGCTTTGGGGCCTGTCATGGAACTCACTCTATAGACCAGCCTGGCCTCGAACTTACAGAGACCTGCCTGTCTCTGCCTCCTGAGTGCTGGCATTAAAGGTGTTCACCACCACTGTCTGGCTAGTGTTATGTAATTTTTGTGTATCAGTGAATGGATCCTGGAGACAGAACTGGCTGGTGAATTCACCTGCTGAGTCATTTTTTTTTTGAGGGGGGTTTCAAGACAGGGTTTCTCTGTATTGTTTTGGAGGCTGTCCTGGAACTCACTCTGTAGACCAGGCTGGCCTCGAACTCACAGAGATCTGCCTGCTTCTGCCTCCAAAGTGCTGGGATTAAAGGCGTGCGCCACCAACGCCTGGCTACTGCTGAGTCATCTTGCTGGCCCAGATTTTTTTTTTTGAGGCTGTATGTCCCTTTGGGGAGGGGCTCTGAGGGGTCCACAAGAACCCAGAACGAAGGGAACCGCCCAGGTCTTCCGTTCTTAGCCGCTGGATGCTGCCATCTGCCTTCAGACCACAACCCAAGAGACCCAGCGCTTCTCCCAGCCCACAGGTAGCCTCCCAGCCCCACCCCCAAAGGGGCTGGTACCTTAAAGACTATTTTATTGGCTGAAAGAATTCCTGAAACATATCCTGAAATTATTTTCTATCTTATGTGTATGTTATTTTGCCTGCATGTATGTCTGTGCATCAGTTTCATGTCTGGTGCCGTTAGAATCCAGAAGAGAATATCAGAACCCCTGAAACTGGAGTTTAAAGTGGTTATAAGCCGACAGTGGGTGCTGAGAATTGAACCCAGGTTCTCTGCAAGGGCAGCTGGTGCTCTTTACCACTGAGCCATCTCTCCAGCTTCGTGGCACACTTTTTACAAAATGGAATGTGGAGGGTTATTTTTACATTTATTTCTTTTTGTCCGCGTGAATGTATTTATATGTCCACTATGTGTGTGCTGGTGCCAGTGGGAGCCAGAAGGGAGCATTGGATTCTATGGAACGGGAGCATAGTATAGGTAGTTGTGAGCCTCCTGATGTGGGCGCCGTGGTCCAAACCCAGCAAGTGCACTTCTGTGGCGCCATCTCTCCAGCTCCCTTCCTTGGCCAGTTCACTTGGTTCACTTGTGTTCGGCTTCCCACAGTGGATGCCAGTTGGATAAAACGAGTAAATGATAGTGGGGATCAAAGTGTATTAAGCTCCGCTGTGTGCTGGTGCAACATTAAGTATCTGCCACTTATCATCTCCTTCAATCTTTATGTAAACTCTTTAAGAAAGGAACCATATTGTCCCCAGTTACAGAGGAAGAAGCGGAGACTGTGTATACATAGTTAGAGGTGCCTGTGGTCATACCTGTAGGTAGTGATAACATGAAATCCACAGCCCTTAGCCAGTGTCACTTAAGTAAGTGGAAGGAAAGGGAAGGGACTCTGGGCAGAGGTAACTAGACAGGTGTGTTTGGGGAGCTGCTGAACGAAGTGTTGTTTCCATGAACACAAGAAGATAGATTGGAAAGGGTTGAGTGAGAAGTCCTAATACAGGAGACACAGTGTATGAGGTTCTGCAGGGAGGCAGTAGAGTCCTGCATCACTTAACACTTGGCTAATGATGGACCTCACATATCCATGTCGTTCCATGGGATTAGATAGTCAGGGTACAGTTTAGTTCGTGTAACTACACTTTGTGATGTTTGCTAGTTTAAGGGACACTTTTCACAGAACATGTACTCCTTAAGATGTAATGGTAGGGACCTGGAGGGATGGCTCTGTGCATAAGAGCGCTTGCTGGTCTTGCAAAGGACCCAGGCTCTGTTCCCAGCACCCACACCAGAGCTTACACTCTTCCAATTCCAGGGTGCCTGGTCCCCCATAGCATGCATGAACTTCACGGCCATACACGAAGGCAAAGCACTCATACACATAAATAAAAAGACATAATTGCAGGGCTTGAGAGATGGCTCAGAGGTTAAGAGCACTAGCTACTCTTCCAAAGATCCCGAGTTCAATTCCCAGCAACCATATGGTGGCTTGCAACCGTTTGTAATGAGATCTGGTGCCCTCTTATGGCCTACAGGCATAGATGCAGGCAGAACACTGTATACATAATAAATAAATCTTTTTTTAAAAAAGATATAATTGTAGAAGGTCAAGTGAGATGCATGTGGATATTTGGGAGAGGAAGACTTGAAGGGCAGCACGGCCGAGGTCAGGTCCAGATGCCAACAGCCTCTTGCCTCAAGGATGGAAGATGCTTGGGTTTCGCTGGTGGCCTCCAGAAGATCAACCTCCTATGTTGGTAGAAGCAGGGAGCAAGAGGAAAAGGGAAGTTTAGAGGGCACAGACAACTCCTCTGGAATTGGTAGTGGGAGGGAGGCTAGAGAAGGAGATGGAGAATTCTGGAGGAGGCTGGTTCAGGAAAGGTTTTAATACGGCAGGGACCCGTTTGTTTGTGGACAGAATCCAGCCAGTTAGAAAGGACCAAGTTGGGTGGGGTCCTGGCCAGGTCTGCAGAACGGTGAGCCGGGTCTCTGGAGGATAGAGGACCCAGACAGGCCTGACTCAGCCAGGTTAACGGACCGAGCTGCCGATCAGAAGGAAGGTGTTGATCCAGGAGGGCAGGGTGGAAAGGGACTTCGATGGTCTTCTGCCTTTTCACAGAGAGAACGGGTCATTGTTATTGAACCAGCATCCCGGCAAACTTCTAGGACTTCCTAGCTGGGGCTTCCAGTCAAGCTCAGAATGAGGTCCCAGGGTGGGCGCAGAAGAACCGCCCCTGGCCGGGCGGAGCTGGACACCTCCTTCCCGCAGCGCTCTCAGGTGACAGGCCTGCGGGTCACTGCCCCGCCCCGCCGCGTATTCAGGGAGGTCCGACCCGTGGCTCAGAGAGCAGTCCCTGCTGCCGGTGCGTCCGTGAACCCCGCATCCTTGCTCCAGAACCCGCCACTCGCCATGATCCTCGCTCCCGCGCCCCGCAGCTTGGTCGTTCTCCTCCAGGTGCTGGGACTTGCCCTGGCTCAGATCGTAAGTCCCGCCGCCTCTCTGGCACCGGAGTCCGGGGTGTAGAACCTAGGTTTAGGATTCGGGAGTTCTGGGACCTGCTCTACTCTGTCCCTAGCTCGAGGGGCAGCTGAGGACAGAGCTACTGGGAGGGTGCATACCAGACACACAGCGGGCAGTGAGGGGAGATTGACTAGCCCTGGAGCCAAAGGGACCCTGTTCCGGGATGCTCCGCCTTGCCTGAGACAGGCAGCGTCGAGCAGGAGCTGGCGCAGGGTCCTGGCAGCAGGGAGAGCCCAGGTGGTGGCGGAGACAATGGTGGCTATTCAGTGGACAGCCGAGCCTCCGCCCCCGGACTCTCCTAAGGGGCCCGGGCTCCAGCCAGACTTCGCCCCACTGCGTCTCCTCTGACCGGCTTGTGAGCTCCCGTCTCAGGTCGAGGGACGGCTGGGGGTTGGGAAAGTCATGCTCTAAGTGGGACCTAACGGGGACCTTGGGCTTGGCACCCCCCACACGCGCCAAGTGGGGCTGGGCGTGGGTTGCAGCTCGCATGTGGGGTGCCAGCCTGGCACTTCTTGACCTGGGGAGGGCACCTGGCGCCAGCGGGACATCTTCCTGACTCGGGGCTGGCCCGCTGTGAGGACCACCTCAGGGAGGATCAAGCAAGAAGAGTCCCAGATCCCCTTCTCCACACCTCCCTTCTCTGTGGGCACTTAACCCCCACCAGGGGAGGAGGGAGAGGCGCCGTTCAATGCTGTATCTGTGGTTGGTTAGAAAACAACAATAGTTCGAAGTGTCATTCATTGAAGACCAGGCCCCGCCTCACATAATCTGTGATCTGGACGAATGGTGTCTTCATCTATTTCCCACCATGACAGTGCAAGAACAGTGTGGTCCAGGGGAAGAAGTTGGCCGACCCCGGGTGCAATTGTGATTTTATCACTCACTCTGTGACCACGGACCTTTAATCTTTCTGTGTGTGGTTCTTCACCCTCCTCCCATCACCCCTAATAGAACCCCGTTCAGTTCTGAGTAGTTCCTGAAATGAATTCGATGACACACAATACACGGTACACAGTAGCTGCTCAACAAACTCCCCACGGAGTTTCCTTGGGGAATTGCTCTCCTAGTCCCAGGAGCCCAGTTCAGCTCACTGTCTAAAAGCTGCACCCTTGTGTGTGTTTTCAGAGAGGTCCACCGGGAGAGCCGGGTCCTCCAGGGCCACCAGGGCCACCAGGAGTGCCTGGTTCTGATGGCATCGACGTGAGTATCTAACTTCAGACTTGAGCGGAAGGAAGGCTGTGTCCACAAAGGAGAACTTTGTGAGCACGGGGTGGGGGACGCCTGAAGTTTAGCACCCCCTGTTGCCAGTAGGCGGCGTCTGCAGAGACCACAAGGAGCCCGTTTGTTCAGTGAAAACCCCAAACCAGCCCTGAAATGCTCAGTCTGTCACAGCCACCCTGCAACAAGGGCCTGCTGTTCTGTTGCCGGCCTCAGCTCACAGCGCTGTCCTTATCCCCCTCCCGCCCTTCCTCCCCTTAGTCCCTCATACTGTCCCCCAACACACTTCTTTAAGGTTAACTGGGGAGGCTCCTGTAGGCTGCTGGCCAGCTGGGGTCACACCCCATCTCTCCCTTTTGCTTTTAACTCCTCTGCTTAAAATCAGTTGGGCTTGTCCTCTGCTCTCAGTGTGCTGAGGGTTAACTGCCTCATTCTGGAGGCTCCCCCAGGAGGTCGGCTGGATGTTTACCGTTTGGACAGACTTCTATTCAGTCTGGTGCCCCCACCCCCAAACGCAGGGCGCTGGGCCCCAGCCAGGCTCTTGCTGCTGCAGCTCCAAAATTCCCGGGGGCCTCTCTGGGGCTAAATCTGACTCCACAGCCATGCCAGTCTCCCACCAAGGGTCCTTTGTCACATGGGAAAGAGATGCTTCTTTTCTTGAGATCATTTTGAATCTACCCCCTTGTTGGCTCCCTTGATTCTTGCCTCTGCCACAGTCTCTGACTTTCCTGACTACCCAGACGACTACCCACTTCATTTCCCTCCCCTTCAGACGTCTCTAAAAGCCCCCCCCTTTTTAAATTTATTTTGTCACTTGCTTAAGGCATCAGTTCTCCCAATTAACCTGAAGCTCGGGGACTTCATAGCTGGTACCTTACCAACATCAGCATGTCTAAAATCTACTTGACCAAAATGCTCCTCTCAGCTGGCTGGCTTGGTGTGATGCACTTATATTTTGTTTTGTCCTCATTTAATTTAGACAAAGTCTCTTTATGTAACCCTGCCTGTCCTGAAATTCACTCTTAGACTAGGCTGGCCTTGAACTGACAGACTTACACTTGTCTCTGCCTTCCCCCCCTCCCCCCAGTGCTGGAACTGAGGCTTGTACTCTGCTGAATTTTGTTTGTTTTGAGCAAAGGGAGCTGTTTTTCTAAATTAAAAAAAAAGTGCAAATTGACTGGGCAGTGGTGGTGTACACCTTTAGTCCCATCGCTCTGGAGGCAGAGGCAGAGGCAGGCGGATCTCTGTGAGTTCGAGACCAGCCTGGTCTATAAGAGTTAGTTTCAGGACAGGCTCCAAAGCCACAGAGAAACCCTGCCTCAAAGTGCAAATCTCAGCACAAAAGAGAGAAGAGAAGACTGAGACCATCAGCCAGAAATGTCTACCTCCACCGGGGAGGCACGAGCCACAGATGCTGTCTCATTAGCTTATATCTTGCAGGGCGACAAGGGACCTCCAGGAAAAGTTGGTCCTCTGGTGAGAGCTTTTTTTTTTCCTTCAGCTTTTGACTCTTCTAGTACTTGCTGTCCTCTGGCTAATATGTTCTGCTTCTAATTCCAAGGGATCCAAAGGAGAGCCTGGCAAACCCGGGCCAGACGGGCCAGATGGGAAGCCGGGCGTGGATGTGAGTACCTGAGACCGGGGGATGTCTGATGTCCAGCTTCTTCGCATGTCTTGTTAGAAGGCAGCAAGATGGTGGCTCTGTGGCCACTCAGGCCTCATTTCATACAACTGTGACCTCACTCCTATCTCATATCCACCCTGACTGGAAGCCTTGGATCTCTGGCAACAGGAAGCCAGAGAGGGGCTTTGCTTTCTGTGAGCTGCAGGACTGTTCCATGTGTCTGCAGGTGTGAGGACTTAGTCTCAGTTTCCGGCCTCTAGAGATTACTCTGCCTTTGTCTGCCCTGTCTGCTGTCCCCACATCCTCACTCCCATCTCCACTGCCTTGCTTATCCCTTCTGCAGTTTCAGCAAAGCTCAGAGAAGGAATATCATTACAGAGTTCCCAGGGACCTCAAAGTCACAAATTCCTGAGGCCTGGCAGTCTCAGGGAGGTGGGGACAGTTATTTAGTGGTAGTATGTGAATGGACTCTGAAAGATGGGGTGGGGCGGGGTGGGAGAAGCCTCTTAGACTTGTGCCTGCTCTGTTGATTCAAAGGGTATGACCAGGGCTGCAGACAGCAGGGCCTCTTAAACTCCTCATCCATGCCCTGTGAGACTACAAAGCATACTGCCTCACTCTAGCATGTCAGTGCTTATGTCTGCCCAGGGAGGTGAGTGTGTTAACTCATTTGCAATGAGAAGCTAGCAAGAGCAGCCATTGAGCGCATCACTAGTCCAGATCCATGTCTGGGTACCCTAGACTCGAACTGTGAGGAGGGAGGCTGAGCCCATAGGCCCAGGTCTTTGAATCTTAGCTTCTGGTCTCTCAAAGGAGGGCAATTGGGTTGAGAATGTAGCTCAGAGGAGTGCTAGCATCACAACTGGGCATGGCAGTACACATTTGTACGTCCAGCACTCAGGAGGTGGGGAAAAGAGAGTCAGAAGTTCAAGGTCATCCTTGGGAACATAGTGAGTTGGAAGCTACTATCTCAGCAACACACCAAAAGGATAATTGCCAGACATGGTTGTGCACGTCTTTAATCCCAGCACTCTGGAGATAGAGGCAGGTGGATCTGGCAGTTCAAGGCCAGTCTGGTCTACATAGCAAGTTCTAGGACATCTAGGAATACACAGAGAGACAAACCCTGTCTCTAAAAAACCTAAATAAAAATTTTAAGGGAGAATAATTGTTTTGTCTACCTCCCAGGATTCCTTTTTTTGTTTGTTTTGAGACAGGGTTTCTCTGTAGATTTGGAGTCTGTCCCAGAATTCGAACTCACAGAGATCTGCTTGCCTCTGCCTCCTGAGTGCTGGGATTAAAGGTGTGAGCCACCACCACCAGGCAAGGATTCCTTTAAAAAACAAACCAATCAAAACAGAATCCCAACAGAGAAAGGGGAAAGGGGAAGTTAAGATCCCCAGGCCTTCAGCCAGTATGGGAAGCCTAAAGAGTCCCCTAGACTTGCCCTTGCCTGTGAGGTAAGGGCAGGTCCACCTCAATGATCCTACCATCTCTTTCTTCCTCAGGGTTTAATGGGAGCCAAGGGAGAGCCCGGCCCCATGGGAACCCCTGGAGTCAAGGTAAGTGGGTGCTCATTGAGGTTGGAGTTGGAGGGGCTGCAGTAGAAGAAGGTATGGACCCAAGAGGCTCCCGCCTCTCATTTGCCCCCCATTGCTCCTGCAGGGTCAGCCTGGGCTCCCAGGACCCCCTGGCCTGCCGGTGAGTAGCACCTACAAGGGTGTGGAGGGACCCTCTGGAGGCTGGGAGGACCTGCAGAGAGGAGCCATGAATCCAATTTCCTTTACTTCTGTTGCAGGGTCCCGGTTTTGCTGGTCCTCCCGTAAGTTCTAGGGGGTAGGGCAGGGAGCTGGGGAAGAAGAGGAGGGCTTCTCCCATCTTGAGGAACGACCCACATGCTGTGTTGGTGCCAGGAATGGGCAGCTTGATGAGTCTGGAGTAGTCTGGGCCTCATAGCCCCACAATTCAGTCTCTGGAATTGTTTGGATAGTCACAGTAGAGAAGAGACTTTTGGTGCCTGTCCCTGCCTTCCTACCTAAGGTGTCTGACCCTGTGAGGCATCCCCGACAACTGCTTCTTTGCCCCACAGGGACCACCTGGACCCGTGGGCCTCCCCGGTGAGATTGGAACCCCAGGCCCCAAGGTGAGCCTAGTGACCCTCTAAGTTTATGTCCTGCATGCCGAGGCTGACAGTCTGGGGGCAGGTTTCCTGGGAGCTTCTGGCCCACAAGGATCACCTCCAGGCCTAGGACAGTACCTGGGACTGTAGCTAGTCTTCCTGGGAGGCTCAGGGCTGGTGCCCCTGCCAGGCTCCTGGATCTCCTTACTGTGGCAGCTCTCTGGAGGTGCCCAGAGGGCGGGGTGGATGGAACAGTGGTAGGAAGAGGAAAAGCAGGGATAAACTGGGGTCCTGCAGGATGGTTTTGTGATGTGGGTGGGCTCTTCTTGCTTCCAGGGGGATCCAGGACCAGAGGGACCATCAGGACCCCCAGGACCCCCTGGGAAACCGGTAAGTGTCCTCAATTCTCCTGAATGGTCATGTGTTCCTGGGGAAGTGGCTTGCAGTAGGGAGGGGGTAGGTCATGTCCTATCCTTATGTATCTCCTCTCAGGGCCGACCAGGAACCATCCAGGGCCTGGAAGGGAGTGCAGATTTCCTGGTGAGAATGGGGGCTGGAGAGACTGACAGGGTTTTCTCCTCACCCCCTTTCCCCGGCCAGGATTTTCAGTGGGAAATGGGGAGGGTTCTGAGAAGCATTGCTTAGCCGGCCCTGGCTAGGCAAGAGACCTCTGGCCTTATAGGGTTTTCTTTCCAGTGTCCAACCAACTGTCCTGCTGGTGTGAAAGGACCCCAGGGGCTGCAAGGAGTGAAGGTGAGGGGGTGGCTTGTCCTGGGAGGGTGGAACGGGTGCTTGGAGGGGGCCCGGGGCTGAGTTCCCTCCTTCCCTTCAGGGGCATCCAGGCAAGCGGGGGATTCTGGGTGATCCTGGTCGCCAAGGGAAGCCAGTGAGTATGAGAGCTAAGGGCCAGGGATGAGGGTAAGGATTATGGGGAGACAACCCTACAGACATCTGCCTCATTCTTCATCCCTACCCCTGTTCCTATGGGTCCAAGAGACAGATTCTTGAGCTGAGACTCAAGAGGTCCCTCCCTCCCTCCCTCCATCCCTTTCTTTCTCTCTCTCTCTCTCTCTCTCTCTCTCTCTCTCTCTCTCTCTCTCTCTCTCTCTCTCTCTCTCTCTCTCTCTCTCGTTTTTCAGGACACAATTTCTCTGTGTAACACCCCTGGCTGTCCTGGAACTCACTCTGTAGACCAGGCTGTCCTCAGACTCACGGAGATTTGCCTGCCTCTGCCTCTGGAGGGCTGAGATTGAAGGCGTGCACCACCACTGCCTGACCCAATGAGTCTCTTGTTGAGTCCCTTTTTCATGTGATATGGGACATCTTGGTTTCTAATTGCCTTGTCTGTCTGTCTGGCTGTGTTGGGAAAGGTTGCTGGTGTCCGCTTGTCTTGTATTTGCCTGCCAGTCTGACAGGTCTTCCTTGCTCTTAGGGCCCCAAGGGAGATGTGGGTGCCTCTGGAGAGCAAGGCATCCCTGGACCACCGGTAAGAAACACCTCACTGTTGAGCTTTCTATCATACCAGGAGCCCTTTAATGGGACCATTCACCTGCTTTGGCCTCTATAGAAGAAATCTTTGTCTGGCTGGGAGTGCCTGGGTGGGGCGAAGGACTGAGACTGACTCAGGGACAGAGTGAACAGGGCCTAGGCTGCCCACCAGAAGGCCTGGCCAAGGTCCAGGCCTGCCACTATTCCTTTAACAGCCCTGGGAGGTCCTCTCTACATCTGGGCAACTTTGTACTACACAGGAGATATGGACCCTCTGCCTACTTCAAAGGGGGGGTATTGTGAAAAGGGATACAGGTCAAAAAGGGACATGGATTCACTGGCATTTGTTTTCAACAGGGTCCCCAGGGCGTCAGGGGCTACCCAGGCATGGCAGGACCTAAGGGGGAGATGGTGAGTCTAGGGGTGTCCTGCAAGAGTTGCTGTGACCAGAGCTCTGGCCTTCAGAGTCCGACTAGGACTGACCCATAATCTGTTCCTTTCCCCAGGGTCCTCGTGGCTATAAAGGCATGGTGGGCTCAATCGGAGCTGCTGGGCCACCGGTAAGCTTACTCCTGTCCCCAGACCACACTGAGGAAGTCCATGGCTTCAAAGTGGGTGCTGGTCTTCATGGGGTCATGTGACTTGGACTCTTGTCTCCTTCATGTCAGGGTGAAGAAGGCCCAAGGGGGCCACCAGGCCGAGTTGGTGAGAAGGGGGATGTGGTAAGTTCTCAGGTACCCCTTGTCTGGTCAGAGCCCCTGGGGAATACTGGGAAAGGATTGTCTCCATCAAGGCTGGTGTGTGTGAGTGTGCACACATACACTTTTATGTATGTGCCTAGCAGTCTGGGGGTGGGGGTCTGATGATCTGTGCTGAGAACCCAGTTAGATTGCTATGTTCGGACTTTACTAGAAGCCTTGGGATCCAGTCTTGTAACCACTGGACCCAGACAATGAAATTCCAGTAAATTAACCATGGAACTAATGGGATTTGGTCTGAATCCCAAGGCATCTATCACAGTCCCTTAACTCTCTCTCTCTCTCTCTCTCTCTCTCTCTCTCTCTCTCTCTCTCTCTCTCTCTCTCTCTCTCTCTGCTCTCTCTCTCTCTCATTCTCTTTTGCTTTTTGATTATAGGCCCCTTTTCTGAGCAGGTATTTTTGTTTGTTTTGAGACATGGTCTCTCTGCATAGTTTTGACTGCCCTAGAACTCACAGAAAATCTCTTTGTCTCTGCCTCTCTAGTGCTGGCATTAAAGGCATGTGCCACCACTCCTTGCTTTCTTAGCAGTTTTAAAATCACAGAAAACTGAGCAGAGTGTGGGGCTTGGGAAGCCTGCATGGTTGCCTGGGGGAAGGGAGTCATTTTCTTCAGGTTGCAGCCACTAGTAAGTTGCCCATATTCTAGTAAATAATCCCACCTATGCACATACAAAACAACCCTCATCAAACTCAATCGATCACAAAAACGGGAGGGTGGTGGCCTGAGTTCAGTCCCTGGAACCCACCTATGGTGGAAGGAAGGACAGAACCAAGTACACAGAGTTGTCTTCTGATCTTCACCCAAGTCCAGCATGTGCGTGTTCCCTGATGCTTGTGGGTGTGCACATGCTTGCACACTCACACACACAATAATAATGCCACCAAACAAACAAAAAGGCATGAGAGTAAGTGGGGAATTCACCATTCAGCAGGAGTAGGGAGTAGTGAGAGAGGGTATGAGAGCTGTGAGCACCCCAAATACATTCTATACATGTATGAAATTGCCAAAGAATTTTTAACTTTTTAGGTTTTTTTTTTGTTTTTGTTTTGTTTTTCAAGGCAGGGTTTCTCTGTATTGTTTTGGAGACTGTCTGGAACTAGGCTGGGTCTCAAACTCATGGACAGTCACCTGTCTCTGCCTCTTGAGTGTTGATATTAAAGGTGTGTGCCACCTACCTGGTCCAATATTTTAAATTTTATTATTATTATTATTATTATTATTATTATTATTATTATTGTGTGTGTAGTATGCATGCACACAGACATGCTTCAGCATGCATATGGGGGGGGGCAGGAGACAACTTACTCAGAGTCAGTTCTCTCCTCCCATCTGTAAGTTCTGGAGTCCAAACTCAGGTCATCAAACTCCTGTGGCAAATACTTTTACCCACTGAGTCATCTCACCAGCTCTTAAATTTGGGCACAATGACTTATGTAAGAGGAGTATTTTTTTTTTGGTAAAGGTAATTTTTGTGTCACTGTTTGTAGTGGTGACAGAGTACATAAGTCACCATGTATCGTAAGATATTATTTCCTAATATAGTAAACAAAGGCCCCTTTACTCTCTGGGTAACTTCTAAGGTAGAGAGGAAATTTGTGTTACATTAAGAGAACAAAAATAAAGACTCCTGATTTTCTTGAGCAGAATTTCAGTTAATTGTGTTTTTAACGCAAGTTTTAAAATACATAGAAAATAAAGAGACTGCCAAATGGAATCCCATATGGCCATCTCACGGGTTTGGGGTTAGACTTTTGCCACAACTGCTGTTTCTACACCTCCTGCCCCTCCTGCCTACATCGACTGCACTGTCCCCCCAACACACACACCTCCTTACTGCCCCCACCTTCTTACTGCCCCCACCTCCTTACTGCCCCCACCTCCTTACTGCCCCCACCTCCTTACTGCCCCCCACCTCCTTACTGCCCCCACCTCCTTACTGCCCCCACCTCCTCACTGCCCCCCACCTCCTTACTGCCCCCACCTCCTTAATGCCCCCACCTCCTTACTGCCCCCCACCTCCTTACTGCCCCCCACCTCCTCACTGCCCCCCACCTCCTTCCCTGCCCCCCACCTCCTCACTGCCCCCCACCTCCTTACTGCCCCCACCTCCTTACTGCCCCCACCTCCTTACTGCCCCTCACCTCCTTCCCTGCCCCCACCTCCTTAATGCCCCCACCTCCTTACTGCCCCCCACCTCCTTACTGCCCCCCACCTCCTTACTGCCCCTCACCTCCTCACTGCCCCCCACCTCTTTACTGCCCCCCACCTCCTTACTGCCCCTCACCTCCTTCCCTGCCCCCACCTCCTTACTGCCCCCACCTCCTTCCCTGCCCCCCACCTCCTCACTGCCCCCACCTCCTCACTGCCCCCCACCTCCTTCCCTGCCCCCCACCTCCTTACTGCCCCCACCTCCTTACTGCCCCTCACCTCCTTCCCTGCCCCCACCTCCTTACTGCCCCCACCTCCTTACTGCCCCCCACCTCCTCACTGCCCCCACCTCCTTACTGCCCCCACCTCCTTACTGCCCCCCACCTCCTTACTGCCCCCACCTCCTCACTGCCCCCCACCTCCTTCCCTGCCCCCCACCTCCTTACTGCCCCCACCTCCTTACTGCCCCCCACCTCCTCACTGCCCCTCACCTCCTCACTGCCCCCCACCTCTTTACTGCCCCCACCTCCTTACTGCCCCACCTCCTTTTCTGCCTCATCATCATCCTTTCCATCCTCGCTTACTACATCATTGCTATTCCTCATCATACTTGCATCATCTTCATACTGTACGCATCATTTACCTTTGTATCATTGTACTTTACATATCATACCTTTACCATCATCGTGCTTTCGCCATCATTACTCTTTACATCCTTCCTGCTTTATCATCGCCTTTTCCTCATCATTGCATCTTATCATCATTCATATCTTTACCTCACTATCGTGCTTTTACATATCATATGTCCACACATCGATACCTACTTTATCATTCATACTTTATATCATATTGCCTTTTACATCGTACCTTTATCATTGCCCCCATATCATCTTCATCATCGCTGCATCATCTTAACATCATTACCTTTTATCATCATGCTTCGTATCGTACTTCTACCTCATCATCGTGCTTTATCATCGCTATTTACATCATGCTATTCATATCATGCCTTTTACATCATGCCTTTATCATCGCTTCTTTACCTCATTACATACTTTACATCATCATGCTGCATTTATCGCTCATATTTGCCATCGTTCCGCCTTTACATCATTATACTTCTTATCATACCTTTGCATCTTCTTTATATCATTATCTTCTACATCATGCACTTTACATCATGTATACATTCTACTGCATCTTATCTTTATCATCTGCCTTTACATCCTCTATACCACCATCCTCATGCTCTACCTCACTTCCTGTCACCTCATCATACCATACCTTTACATCCTTTACATCATTACTGCTTCCACCTCCTTCCTTTACTTCACCTTCACTATCCCACCTCCTTCCTGCTCACCTCCTTACTCTTTACATCATGCCCTTTATATCATTACCTTTCATCATGCCTTCATATCATGCTCTACATCCTCATTGCCCTCATCTTCCTGCTTCTATATCCTTCTGCCTCCTACCTTCGCTTACCACACCACCTCTTTGCCTCTCACCTCCTGTACTGCCCTCCACCTCCTTATCTGCCCCCACCTCCTTCCCTGCCCCCCACCTCCTTACTGCCCCCCACCTCCTTACTGCCCCCCACCTCCTTCCCTGCCCCCACCTCCTTACTGCCCCCACCTCCTTACTGCCCCCACCTCCTTCCCTGCCCCCACCTCCTTACTGCCCCCACCTCCTTACTGCCCCCCACCTCCTTCCCTTCCCCCACCTCCTTACTGCCCCCCACCTCCTTACTGCCCCCCACCTCCTTCCCTGCCCCCACCTCCTCACTGCCCCCCACCTCCTTACTGCCCCGCACCTCCTTCCCTGCCCCCACCTCCTCACTGCCCCCCACCTCCTTACTGCCCCCACCTCCTTACTGCCCCCCACCTCCTTACTGCCCCCCACCTCCTTACTGCCCCCACCTCCTTACTGCCCCCCACCTCCTTACTGCCCCCCACCTCCTCACTGCCCCCCACCTCCTCACTGCCCCACCTCCTTACTGCCCCCACCTCCTTACTGCCCCCCACCTCCTTCCCTGTTCCCCCCTCCTTACTGCCCCCCACCTCCTTACTGCCCCCCACCTCCTTACTGCCCCTCACCTCCTTACTGCCCCCCCACCTCCTTACTGCCCCCACCTCCTTTCCTGCCCCCGGGTCCTTCACTGGTAACTGCATTGCTCTGACGTTTTCAAGAAATCCTTGGCTTATCTCATTTGCCTTCATACACTTGTGCACACATCTCTGAAGATGAAAGACTTCATACACTTGTGCACGCATCTCTAAAGATGAAAGACTTCATACACTTGTGCACGCATCTCTAAAGATGAAAGACTTCATACACTTGTGCACGCATCTCTAAAGATGAAAGACTTCATACACTTGTGCACGCATCTCTAAAGATGAAAGACTTCCTCACAGAATCATATTATTATTGGAACTGGAGAAAGAGGACTGGAGACAAGGCCCAGAGACGGTGCTTGCCACTAGGACTAACAATCTGGGTTCCATCCCCAGAATCCACGTTGTGGAAGAAGAGGACCAACTCCTGGAATCTGTCCTCTGACCTCCACACGTGTGCTGTGGCATGTGTCCCAACCCTGCTCACACGAATGAATGAATGAATGTAATTTAAAAATTAAAAAGAAGGCCGGGCGTTGGTGGCGCAAGCCTTTAATCCCAGCACTTGGGAGGCAGAGGCAGGTGGATCTCTGTGAGTTCGAGACCAGCCTGGTCTACAAGAGCTAGTTCCAGGACAGCCTCCAAAGCCACAGAGAAACCCTGTCTCGAAAAACCAAAAAAAAAAAAAAAAAATTAAAAAGAAGATTAATGAAAGGTGTAGTTGTTCCTTAACATCACCAAGAAGCTAATCTACCTTTTTCTAGTTTTCCCCATACTATCATCATAGCTCTTATTCAAATCAAGATACTCCCCAATATGAAGCCCATCCGTCTCTCTTGGCAACCGTTTCTTTACCTAATGACCGTCTGATTCTTTACCTAATGTCTGTGAATGCAGGCCTCCCAGAAACCACTGCACTGCCCTCCCTGCCCAGGCACTTGGTGCCGATCTGCCCCCCTCCCTTAGTGTCAGGGTAGAAGTGGGCTTCTGAGGGTCTCCGTTCAACCTCTGCAGTCTGGTCCATGCCACAAGGACTCTGGGACCCAGACGCCATCGTCTCTGATGTGCTGTTCTTTCCACAGTCAGTTAGGCTCAGCGTTCTAAAGGTGACCGATCTCTATCTACTTTGCAGGGGAGCCAAGGTGTCCGAGGACCCCAGGGGCTAACAGGCCCAAAGGGAACAACGGTAAGTGATCAGGGTCCAGGCCCTGGCCCTGGTCAGTTTGTCTGCATTCTAGATGGAGAGGAAGCTGGGGGTCCGGATTGAACTCTGTGACAGGGTGCTGGCTCTGTAGCCTGACAAATAGGCTTTCTTTTCTGAAAGTTGGTTTCTTTACCTGAAAACAGTGAGGAATCGCGAGCAACTGCACAGTCACTCACACAAAGGATGGGCTGCTGTTCCCCGAAGTGATCAGAGCCTCTCTGCTTGTATAGCTGTCCCAGAGCTTTATGTCACGGGGCAGGTGGCTTGGTCCCATTGGTCTTCCCATTAAGAGTCTCCTTGAACTTTCTTTCTGTACAGGGTCCTCCAGGCATTGATGGCAAGGATGGGACCCCGGGCATACCTGGCATGAAGGTGAGAGCTTTGGCTGGGCTGGGCTGGGTCAGGCCTGTTCTTCCTCAGGCCAGTGAGCCCTGACACCAGTCCTAGAGGCTTCAGCACCAGCAGCTCTCCATGCGTTTCAGTCAGGTCTCCTTGCTTCTGGATCTTTCCTGCCTCCACATAGGTGGGACCCCCTCAGGTTGAGGCTCTAATTTGTGTTTCTGCTTGTTTGTTTCTCCAGGGCAGTGCAGGACAAGTGGGGCGGCCAGGAAAGCCAGGCCACCAAGGCTTAGCCGTGAGTATCAACTAAAGCCAGGAGGGCTTCCCACAGGCAAGTTGATCCTCCTGGGCCTCAGAGCACCAGCCTCTGTGTGAGGACATGAGAGGCTGAGGAGGTCAAACTACACCTGAGCTCTGACCCTGTCACCATGTCACCTCATTACCGTCTGTGTGGCCTGGCCTTGTGTAGGCTGCATCATCATTTGGACAATGTTTTGTTTTGTTTTTCAAAACAGGGTTTTTCTGTGCATCATTGACTGCTCTAGAACTCACTCTGTAGACCAGGCTGGCCTTGAACTCACAGAGATCCGCCTGCCTCTGTCTCTGGAGTGCTGGGATTAAAGTGTGGGACCACTGCCCAGCTGCAGTGGCTTTCCTATTAATATATTATTAAGCCTTTGCTGGTCTCTGGCCTTCTTGATTCACCTTCTCATTTCACAGACCCTTCTCTACTACACACTTCTGGAGTTTAGCCTGTGAGTGCCCATCCTCCATCCTCATGAGGGCCCAGACTGCCAAAGCTTGTGTTCCCAGTATGCTTTCCCCCTAGACACGGAGGCTGATAGACAGGCCATTGTCCAAAACCCACTCTTCTCCTCCCAGGGCTCATAGCAAGGGTGGAAAGCAGCTAAGCTCATGATACCATGGCTGGATCTTTGGTTGTTTAGTTCCCACAAGGAGGAAAAATCTGGAGAGGGCATGGAGGCAAGTGTACCCATCTCCCCCTGCCAGGGCAGAAACCAATACCAGCTTTTTTCTTTAGGGTGTGCCTGGTCAGCCTGGAACAAAAGGAGGCCCTGGAGACAAGGTGAGGAGACCCCTAGGCCAGGAGACTTGGTTCTATCTGAACAAGGGGGTGAGGGAGTGAGAAGTGGGGCATGGTTCAAGCATTGTGAGGCCCAGTTTTCACCCAGGGCTGACACAGCCTAAAAACAAGCCCCTGCCTCACCACCTTCTGCCAGCACCTTGCCCCTGCCGCATCCTGGCTTAGAAGCAGGATGTGGCCTAGAATCCAGAGGAGAAACAAACTCGGGAAAAGCAACGGAGCCGGGAGGATTTGATCAAGAATGGCCTGCACCCATCCCTGCATATTTGGCTGTAGACTTGGTCAGGGTTCCTGGGCCTACCTGAGACTAAGGGCTGACTGGCAGCTTCCAGCTGAGAACTGTGTTTTCCTGCAGGGTGAGCCAGGCCAGCAAGGCTTCCCTGGAATCTCTGGTCCTCCTGGGAAAGAAGTGAGTATCCCTCTCTACCCTCCCAGGAGGTTTTGGTCTTTCTAGGTCTAAGGTCAGGCCTGACCTTAGTGTAGGGCCAGGTTGAGGCTGGGGTGGAGCCCAAACCTGGGGAGTGTTTTGAGTCTGGTGTCCTGTCCCACTGACACAAGCAAGCCTTTTCTCTCTGGACCAGCTTCCTTAATTGAAGCCTATTAGCTGATCCGAGGATGGGGACAGCTGAGCCAGGGTGAAGGGAGGGTCCCACCAGGCCGGCTGCTCACTCTCCTTTCTCCTCCCAGGGAGAGCCAGGGCCTCGAGGAGAAATTGGTCCACAGGGCATCATGGGACAGAAGGTAAGTAAGTGGTCCTTCCCCAAGGATCCTTGCAGCAGCTGGCTCTGGGTCCTCTGTCAAGGGCTCAAATGAGCGTCTGTGAAAAAGAGTAATAAGAGGGACCCCTGCTGGTGACAACCAGAATGGATGGCACTTGTCCTGCTAGAGTCTGGCCTGCCTGATCTGAAAGGCTGGCCCTGCTGAGAGCCCAGGTGTGACCTCCTATTTCCATTTCAGGGCGACCAGGGTGAGAGGGGACCAGTAGGGCAGCCAGGCCCTCAAGGACGACAGGTGAGCTAGGCCAGCTGGCGGCAGGGGCGGGGCCGGGGATTGGGCTCACAACTGGTTCTTCAGTTTACTTCATTGTCTTGTTTTCCCACCTCCTCAGGGCCCCAAGGGAGAGCAGGGGCCCCCAGGAATTCCAGGACCCCAAGGTTTGCCAGGCATCAAAGGAGATAAGGTACCGTCGGAAGCTGGAGAACATCAGGGACAGCGGTCCAAATCTGGGCTGCGGTGGGCGGTGGGGTTGGGTTAGACGAGGAGGAGCAGGTTGCTAGGGGGCCTCCCTTCCCTGGAGAGGACATTTCACTATGCCCACTCTCTTTTTCTAGGGCTCCCCCGGGAAGACCGGGCCCCGAGGCGGAGTGGTGAGTACCAATATCCCGGTCCAGCTGCAGGTGTTGGGTACCTGGGGTGTCGTGTCTGAACACATCTGCAGACCCTGCACCCCTCGGTGTTATGGCACTTGACACGAGGTTCTCTCTCTGCAGGGTGACCCGGGGGTGGCCGGCCTCCCGGGTGAGAAAGGAGAGAAGGTGAGCGGGGCACGGAAGTGAGATGGGAGTTGGGGAGCTGGTCCTGGTCCCTACTACTTTTTGACGGTGCTCCCTCTGCAGGGCCAGTCGGGAGAGCCAGGGCCCAAGGGACAGGTAAGCCCCTCCCCTTTCTCCTACACGGATGCCATCCTCCCTCTGGCCCCTTCCTTTCCCTTTTCCCTACTCTCCCCTCCCTCCGGATGCCTTCTTACTCCACACGGTCCCATGGCAGCAAGGAGTCCGTGGAGAGCCAGGATACCCTGGCCCCAGCGGGGATGCGGGAGCTCCAGGTGTGCAGGGCTACCCCGGGCTTCCCGGACCCCGAGGACTGGTGGGAGATCGAGGCGTGCCAGGACAACCTGGGAGACAAGGAGTAGTGGTGAGTGGACCCCAGGACTAGGGTAATCTCTAGGAAGGGCATCTTCTGGGGGGGGGTGCAGCATATTGCCCAAAGCTGGGAGTTCCCAGAGGCCCTCTGACTGCTCAGAGACTGGCCCCAGATCAAGAGAATGGGTGCGGCACATGCTCAAAAATGCTGGGATGCAGGCGGATGTGGCGGCGGGTTGCAGGAGTGGTTGGATCTGACAGCCAGGGCTTCTTCATGAATTGTATTCTTTGTTCTCAGGGCCGAGCTGCCAGTGACCAGCACATCGTGGACGTGGTGTTGAAGATGATTCAAGGTAAGGGACGGGCTACATCCCCTCCCCATAGCCCACTCCACTGCCTGGTCACCCTTCACCAGCCTCTACAAGTGAGGGTCTCGAGCCCCTGGTGTGCATTTTGGTTCTGCCTCCCGGAAACGTGGAATTTAGGATAGACTTCCGTGAAACAGGGCCTAGGGAAGGGGAAGCTCAACACTGGCCTTTCCTGTCTGCAAGCTTAGGGGCCGTTGCATCAGGATACCCTGTCTTCTCCAGGCTCATCTCAGGCCTTTCTTCCTTCTCTTTCCTTCAGAGCAACTGGCAGAGGTAGCTGTGAGTGCCAAGCGGGAAGCCCTGGGTGCAGCCGGAATGGTCGGTCTTCCAGGGCCTCCTGGGCCTCCTGGATATCCAGGCAAACAGGGACCCCATGGGCATCCTGGCCCCCGAGGCATTCCTGGCATCGTGGGAGCAGTGGGTCAAATTGGCAACACTGGGCCCAAGGGTGAGTGCTTGGAGCTGGAGCTGGGCCTGGGGATTGGCTCAAGGGCAGCTTGGTACACAGTAAATGCCAGTTCTTTTGTTTGCTTGTTTGTTTTGTTTTCCCAGACAAGGTTTCTCTGTAGCTTTGGAGGCTGCTCTGGAACTCACTCAGTAGACCAGGCTGGCCTCTAACTCAGAGATCTATCTGTCTCTGCTTCCCAAGTGTTGGGACTAAAGGCGTGTGCCACCACTGCCTGGCTAGTCAATGCCAGTTGTTATTGGACACTTTCCTATAACACACCGTAATCTCAGATTTTGCCTGCATCTCCCTTTATCTAACCAGCCCTCTGTGGTCATTTCCAACTTGCTTCAGTCGTATACTGGCACAATGGATGTGTATGAAACAGATTAGATAGTGGAAGAAATTTTTCTCAGTTTGGGACAAGACATTCCTTTGTGTCTGCAGGAAAGCGTGGAGAGAAAGGCGATCAAGGAGAAATTGGACGCGGGCACCCCGGTATGCCGGGGCCCCCAGGAATCCCAGGTAACACCGTGGTCCTGTGTAGCCACCCTTCTGTCTCTGAGCTTGGGAATGAATGTTTCTGGATTTTCTACATGGAAGCCTGGCACTCAGCCAAGCTGGAGCACCTAGGAGTATCTGGGAGGGTCTGGCTAGGAGCTGGCAACTGGGATTCTGGGTTGGGCAATATCTGTGCCTTCCTTCAGTGATTGATATTTGTGGCCAAACTTTCCTTGCCTGAACCATTTCCCAGTGTCTCACCTTTCCTTCTCGCAGGTCTTCCCGGCCGGCCTGGCCAGGCAATCAATGGCAAGGATGGAGACCGAGGATCCCCAGGGGCTCCAGGAGAGGCTGGCCGACCTGGCCGGCCAGGCCCAGTGGGGCTGCCTGGCTTTTGTGAGCCTGCCGCCTGCCTGGGGGCTTCAGCCTATGCCTCTGCTCGCCTCACAGAGCCTGGGTCCATTAAGGGGCCGTGAGCAAGCAGCATAGTCAGAGCCTATTAGCATCCTGGGTCCCATCTAGGCAGACATGCATCCCAGCTCCAGCCCAGGAGGCTAGATTTCTCAGGCCCTTGTCTGAAACCCAGGGGTTCTGAAGACATGTTCAGTGAGGGAGGGGCTGGAGAGGGAGCACTGGAGTAAAGGGGAGGCCAGCAAAGCCATTGGAGAGCCTCCACTCTCGAGGGAACAGAGTGGTTTTTCTTCCCGGAGTACCAACTGTTCCTCATCCATACCCTCTGCACTGTCCATCCCACCCTCCGGGCATGCAGACTGAGGCCTCTGATGGTCCTCATCCCATTCTTACTGTCTGGACTTATTTCTACTGGGTGTCTGCTGAGGGTGAGGACCCTGAGTTGGCAATCCTTAGGCCAGCCCCACTATTGCCTTTCTGCCTCCCATCCGAGTATTTAAACACCCACTCCCTTGTTTCTGCACCGCTACTTCCCAGCCCCCTTTGCTCATACTCACTCTGGCCTTTGTGTAAATAAATGTTCCCAACTTGGTTACAAACTGACTCCTTGTGCCTGAGGATGGGAAGTTGTTGCTGGATCTCCACTGCTTGGGCAAAGGGGCTAAGGGCTCACGAATGGGAGGGTACTTTGTAAGTCCTGAGCATAGGGATGGCAGGCCTATTTGAGACACTTCTGTGGTGAGAACCTGAGGGTCGAGGCAGATGTTGATCCACCTAGTGACTTTGGGCAAACCTCTTAAGTGTCTTTGTATAGTGGTGACAAGGGCTTAGCCACGCTGCATGATAAGAGTAAGCCACACTCACTAGGTTGCCAGGGACATATCTCTCTCCCTCCCTCTCCTTCTCTCCCCCTTCCTTTATCCTTTCCCTTCCTTTAGACCAGGTCTCGTGTATTCAGGCTGGCCTTGAACTTGCTATATAGCTGAGGAGTGTCTGCCTTCTGCTGGGATCACAGGTGTGCACCACCACACCGCTTTGTAGTAATGGGGTCAAACCCAGTGCTTCATTCATTGCATATTAGGCAAGCACCCAACTAACTGAGCTACATCCCGTCACACACCCCCTGGTCTGTCTCAGCGGCCCGTGTGCTTGGAGTGGGAGATTGGAAGACCCGCCTGTTGCCTTCCAGGAGCTCCTATGAGGGATTGGGGGGGGTCTTGATAAACCGCTAAGGGACACTTGCTCAGATCTGGTTTGTCTACCCTGGCCATTGCTCTCAGGCAGGAACCTTTGAAATTAGATGGCATCTTAATCACGGTTAGTGTTGCTGTGATGAGATACCATGACCAAAGCAACTTGGGGAAGGGAAGGATTTGTCTGGCTTTTGTTTCCACATCAGAGTTCATCATCAAAGGAAGTCAGGACAGGAATCAACAGAGCAGGGCCCTGGAGGCAGGAGCTGATGCAGAGGCCACTGAGGGGAGCTAGTCATCATATCTCCACCTTTCCTCCCCCACCCCTGCTGCTGAATGGCTTGCTCAGTCTGTTTTCTTATAGAACTGGAGACCACCAGCCGAGGGATTATCCCATCCATAATGGGCTGGCCCGCATCAATCGCTAATTAAGAAAATTCCCTATAGGCTTGCCTACTATGGAGACATTTTCTCAACCGAGGCTCCTTCCTGATGACTCTAGCTTGTGTCAAGTTGGCATAAAACTAGTATAGATGGCAAATGTTTTGTTTCAGTATCAGTCTGGGTATGTGTTGTCCCCAGAGGAAGCACTCTGCCCCTCATGGAGGCACACAGCACTGTAGTCCAAGGCCAAGCACCTGTTGAAGCCCTCCTCCCTCTTCACTCATTTACCATTAGGGACCTAGTCCCTTAACCACAAGCTGGAGTCAACCAGGAAGCATGAGGGCCACCAAGGTGACTTTATCTTGAGTGCTTCAGTCAATCCTGTTACAGCATCCCAACCTCCACAGAGAGTCCCTGGTATGTGGCAGCCAGGGAGCCCTTGGAATAGAGGATCCAGGGCCTAGTCAAGGGGGAGAACAGAGCTGCCCTGGCCCTGAGCACGTGCTCAGATATCCACAGGGACATGGTGGTGGTAGTGACTCTCTCAGGCACTGGATCCCATAATGGGTCTGGTGCCTGGAACCTTGGGTTTAGAGAGCCTGACTCCTTGATGTCTCTTTATGTGCTGGCTTGGGAACCCTTTCCTGGTCCTCTCTGTAACTTAATGAGTCAGGACACACTGGATGGTTTCAATGACAACAGAGAAGCCGGTGGTTCACAAACCGCACTCATTTCTGTGAATGAAGCATTTGAAAGGGCCAAAGGGGGCTAATTCCTAAGGACCAGTGGCCTGTGCCTTCTGCAACTTCCTAGTGTGTGGGTTTCACTCTGGTCATGTGTGACCTGTGAGTCTCCCACATGCCCCTCTGAATGCATCCCTATGCTCTGGCCCCAGTCCACCCTATTCTGGCCATGATACTCCCTGGGCTGTTTAAGCATGCTATGCCACACATGCTGTCCTGCTGCTCGGAATGCCGTTCCACCAGCCATCCTTACTCCAGCACCCCGCTTCACCCTTGGCTCAAAAGTGATCGCATTCCTTCCCGGCATTTCAAACACCCTTCTGTGACTGCTTCTCCTTTGTGCTACAGTTTGACCTAAGACCCCAGAATAGACACTCCACAAAGGAAGGAATTTGGCCTCTCTTGTTCACCATTCTGTTTCCAGCACACAGTGCCTGGCACATAGCAGGTGATCAATATTCATTGCGGGAGCCGGGGAAGTCTAGCTCCCAGGACTACCTCCAGGGTAGCAATAAAGAACTCCATCAAAGCAGTGAGGACTTAGGGGAAATTTCCCATCTGTCTAAAGGAAAAAGATATAAACGGTCTGAGGGTCATCTTTTTATTTCCAGCTCTCATAGTTTAAAATCTTTAGCTCCAACTTTCTAGTTCTAAATCTTTAGTTCCAGTTCTCTGGTTCCCTAGTTTTATATCTTTAGTTTCAATTCCCCCAACTCCTCTGTTCACCTGGCTTATATACACATTCAACAGCAAACTTTTGGCAATAATAATAAAAAAAATGATGCATTCCTTGAGTAAAATGATAAGGGACACCTGTGAAATAAACTTGTCAGTTTCTGGTTAGTAAGCAGCTGTAAAAGTGAGTATCGGCTGTGGCATTCTCTCTTAAGAAAGCTGCTTACAAGGGGTTATAGCAGAGAAAGGATAAACTACTGAGAGATCTAAGGAAGAAATAAAGAAGTTGTATACTATTCTACATTTCTTAAGTGTATTAAGCCTTATATAGACTGACAGTCGTGTGTGTGTGTGTGTGTGTGTGTGTGTGTGGGGTGTGCGTGTATGTGTACGTGTGTCTCCTGCAGCCCTTAACAGGAGAGTGCAGCTTCCTGGCTGGGGCCCTTTGTGAGCAGACTGTGAGTAACCACGGCAACCTGTTGTAAAGCAATGGGGTGCACAGGGCTGAGCACTTCAGCACTTTGCACAAGGCTGGCATCAAAAGCGTCCCAAGTCTAAAGATACATTTTTCTCTCCTGTATGTAGCCCCAGAGCACACAGAGAGAATTTACAGGACGGAAACTTTTTATTCAAGGCTGTGAAGCTGGGCCATTTTGGCAGTCCTGGCCATCCTTTCCCATGTAAAGCTGTTTCTCTCTGGACTTGTCCTCCATATAAATTTTAGGACTTAAACATAAACAGTTAGTTAGCCAAGCCTTGAATTTTGTACCATAAACTGAGGTCAGAAATTTATGCAGAGTGTTAATTGCTAAGGAATTTAGTAGGGAGTGGCTGCTGGTCTCTGTTATCAGCCTGGCCTCACTAAAGAAGCTGGCATAGCTTTGTGCTAATAACCTTGGTTTAGACACCTACAATTCTGTCCTTGTGCATATCTGCAAAGCTTTAAACTTACGATCCGTTCATTCAGTCTAGTTTGAATTTGCTCTTTAGGTTATGAATCAATTAATTGCATGTGGCTTGTCTTAGAACTGAGAAGAAATTGTTTTCTTTATGCCAGTCTGAGCTAGTGATAAAAAAAAACACGGCCTGAGTGTCTTACAGTCCTTGTGGAATAATAAATCTGGTTATGATGCATATCCTAGTATATTTCCTATATATACAGATTAATGGTCATCTTTCTGATCATTCACAGATATAGGTATATGTGCCCATAAGACTTAGATGTAATTTTTTTTTTTTTTTTTGGTTTTACGAGACAGGGTTTCTCTGTATTGTTTTGGAGGCTGTCGGTCCAGTCTGGCCTCGAACTCACAGAGATCCGCCTGCCTCTGCCTCCCAAGTGCTGGGATTAAAGGCGTGCGCCACCACCGCCCGGCTGAGATGTAATCTTGAGATTGCATATATACATCACATGTGATTACACATTACAGTGCAGGTATTGGGGAGATACCATAGCTGTCTTTGCACTTGTGAATTTACAGACAGAAGCGGTCAGTATTTATAGGTAATATTTTCATAAGCCTTGCCTTTGAATTTCCTCCATCACACTAGCTGATCACCAGGTGGGCTGACCTTATAACTATATCCGCTATCATCTACTATAGTTGCCTCATGGTCCACAACAGCTTGTGACAATTCATTAAATAAATGGAAAATATGTCCAGGACACAAAGAAACAACTCTAATCATCGAACTAGGAATGAAGTGACTTGGATTCAACCTGTGTGAGGCTGTGTTCTGATGGCTCAGAATTCCCAGTGGTTCTTTGCACCCAGTGAAGGATCCTCCATGACTGAATTCTGGGTGGTCAAAGTGATGTGGGGGTACTTCAATAGAGAACTTGCCTAGCATGAGTGAGGCTCTGGATGTGATGTTTGATACACACACACACACACACACACACACACACACCACACACACACACACACACACACACACACACACACACACACACACACACACACACACACGGGAAATGACAGGTAACAGAAAGGACACTACAGCTAGATGGAACTTCAGCTGCCCCCAGTATTCAATGTGCTTCCTCCAGGTCATACCTTGCAGTGCCTCCCCAACTACCACTCTACAGAGCACCAAGGTTACTTGCCACAAGGGTGAGAAGGTCCTACTGCCAACCCACTTCTAATACAGAAACCAGGGCAATCCTGTAAAACTAAGCCACATCACGTCCTAAGCTTTCATGCCTAAGGCTTCCCATACAACCAAGTAAACATTTAAAACCAAGCATGGCACAGCACACCTTTGATCCCAGCACTCAGGGGCAGAGGCAGGCAGGTCTCTGTGAGTTTGAGGCCAGCCAGAGAAACCCTGCCTCAAAAACCAAAAACCGAAAGAAGCTTAAAACCCCTCCATCTCAAAGCACTGGGGTCAAACCCAGGGCCTTGTGCATCCTAGTACTCTAATTGAGCCACATCCCCAGCCCCCAAAGTCTGAATTCTCACAGCAGCCACAAGGCACAGTAAAATCTGACCTCCCCTTTCCATCTCCCAACCTCTCTAGCACCCTTCCCACCCTCTGACCTTCTGGCGTTGCTCACCTGTTTCAAGGCCTTTATACCTATAGTTCCCCCTTTGTATGAGGCCT